GTAGGCCTTTTTTTCTGCCTAAACATGCATAGGATTGTATTTTAAATGGAATTTTGTTTATGTTTATTTATTCATTAGATTTATACCCCACCATCCTTTTTTTAAGAATGCAAAGCAGCTTATATCATTCTCTCCTCCTGCTCTCAGTCTTACCTGTACAACAACAACCCTGTGAGATTGGTTGGGTTGAGCATCTGTGACTGGCCCAGAGTTACTCAGCTGGCTCCATGGCTGCACAAGGACTAGAACTCAGGTCATCTGAGTCCCAGTCCTGTGCTCTTCACCTCTGCATCACACTGGCTCTCAATTATAATGAAATGCATTACATCTCACCAAGACAGTGGCCAGGTGACCTGTGCGACTTCTCCATCTTCTTTTCAGGTACCAACTGTGAATGGGCAATTTCAAGACCCCTTCACCTTTCCCTTCTCAGGAGCCTTTATCTTTAAACTGAACTTAGATCAGACTGCCCTTCAAATAGAAAAATGTTCTCTGTAGAGGTCACCTTAATGAATGATAATATTGTAATTGTAAACATCCCCTACTTATTTCAACATTTCAAATTACATGAATAAAATGCTTGCTCAATTTTTCCTGAAGTGTGCATAGTACTGCTTCCTCTTTGACTTTCTTTACTCCATCCAATTTTATGTTATGCTAATTTGTAGTCAAAGGATGTTCCAGAACCTTCTGTAAAGCCACAAACCACTGGAGAATTGTTTTTTTTTTTTTTAATTAGGGCTCATAAATAGCCTTTCTCTAAATGGTAAATGCTAACATCTCTACATATAGTGGGAAAGATTTGCTCAGTATTTCTACTCTTTTCTCCTACAAGCTTTTGGGGAGGAAATTGTCCTCTTAAATAAGGTGTTTAATGGACTTCTCATTGCTCACTTATAGTTCTTCTGTTTAATAAATGGTTACTTTTTTGAGATTTAAGATACTTTCACATGAGAGCATATTTTTCTGGATTTTGCATACACTTTTTCAGCATGATTCAGACCAATAAGCCAAAGAATTTACCAGTCATGAAGGCTAATCTTACTTTACAATAATGCTGCCCCAAGACTCTGAAATAATTTCATGGACCCTACAAGAGCTCTAAGAGTGAGCCTGTGGACCCTAAAACAGCATCTAGGCCGCCATGTCTCAGACCCATGGTTTAAAAAGAACCCCACGTTCAAGCTGGGAATCTGCCCTGGGATCTCCCTTCCCCTTTACAACTGGTTGGAAAGAACGGTATGAGCAACTTTTCTGAGGTCGTAAGACTGACCTTGGAGAAGGGGTAATAAGGGCATTCCAGGGACCAGGGAAGAGAGGACCTTGGGGCTTCAGGATATGACATACCTTGATGGTGCTCCAGCTTCCTGTCCTCCCTGTGAGTTACCACAGATGGATGGCCAAAATCAGCCATTGATGTTACATCCGGGGTGGCAAGATCGGAGAGGCAATAACCACCTCTATGCTTCTCCCATCCTGTATAGCATGTCTGCGGTCCTCTGCTTTCAGAGGCTTATGTGCATCTGTACCCCAATGGGTTTTTTCAGACATTAAAAGTGCCCTACAACTCTCCCACCCATGTATCTTGTGTAGACTGGCATAGAATTGTACTTTAAAAAGGTGCTACAACAACCCATATCTTACATTTCAGTAAAAACTCAAGTTCATTAAATTAAAGAATACAGACCAGGTTTCATTTAGATCTCTACTGCAATATCACTACAAAATGACATCCATCAGGAGTCATAAGCAATCTTAAGTGGACAAGATTTTAAAAAAGGAAGAAAATGACACGGCAAATTAAGAGATATCTAAAGAGGAACAGAATATGGGGATTTTGAGTATTTCCACAATGCACAGATTGAGTTGGTAACTACGGAATGTTTATGGTCTCTGAAACATGAATGAATCATTGCCTGCTGGTGTGCAGAGTTTGTGACTGCACACCCCCTAGTCTGCGTTCTCTAAGAATACTTTTTCATCAGCTTTTGCAGTCAATAAAGGATGTAGCAGCTGCATCCTATGAGTTAAAAAGTTCTATTTAGTTTGACCTGTAGAAAGCTCCTAAATAAAATAATATAAATCATATTCCATATGGATCTTTACCATGAGGGACTTGTTGGTCAAGACCGAGTGCCCTGAGCTGAACTGGAAAATTAATCAGTAGTTATACTTGACACAATACAGGCTGTGAATGGGTGGGATATTCACTTGTCTATCCAGGCACTATATACCAAGCATGCCTCAGAAACTGGGAGAACAATCCAGTCAGCATCAATCACTTTGAAATCAAGAATAGTTTGTTATGTGTACATCTGATTTGATACCAAGACCCAAAGTTTAAAGTTATAGCTGAATGTTTTCATAACATGAGAAATGCTAAGATATAACATTGGCTAGAATATGGGTGAGCATCATGTGGCCCTCCAGATGTTATGGCCCTTGCCCTTGCCCTTGCCAGCACAGCCAGTCATGAAATGGGTGTTACCAGAAACTGCACATCAATCTGCTGGAGGGAAAACAGAGCACTGAGAGATGGAGGGCTAATTAAAGAGGAGGCAATGTGTGGGTTAGACTTGGATATCTAGATTGTAATAGAAGTGCAAGTTTACATAATTAATAGAATTTTAATCTAGCAATGAACATGAAGGCTACCAAAAATACCTCTATGCATGTTACACTTCTTGTGTAATACTCAGTCTGAAATGTGTGGTGCAGTGGGGAGGGGGGATTTGGTTGTTTCACATTCACTTCTGGAAGAATCTTACTGATTTAGAAACTACAAGAGTTGCTAGAAAGAAATGTGTCATCTTGTTTTAATTGGTCTTACTGTTTCTAATATTTTGGGGTTTTTTGCCATTGTTTTCAGCTTTCTTCTGAAAATTGCCTTCTGCAGTTGTGAAGATTGGGTACTTTTTCCTTTAGATCATGGGTGGGACAGTTTGTAGCCCTCTAGATGTTTCAGCCTACAAGTCCCATCATCCCTCACTGGCTAGGACTGATAAGAGTTCTAGACTGAAGTATCTGGAGGGCTACAAGGTGCCCACTCCTACTTTAAATGAATGAAAATTGGATTCTCAGGATTCTAAAATGCTCTATACATGGCAGGAAGCGTCTGAGGAGCACTGTACTTCCCTAGCAGATCTAAAATTGGTTGGAACATTTGCCCCTCCCTGTATATGGAGCTACTGAGAGCCTCTGAGAATGCAGTGTTTTTAACAAATTAACATGTATCTACCTTCAAGAACAAGCAACCAGTTTACTCACTTTCCGTTACCCTCTCCATTTTTCCCCCTTTCATACCTGATAGATTGCAAGATTGTGGGCAGGGGGCTGGCTTACCTTTTAACCTCTATACAGCAGGTGCTTAGTAAGGTGAATATAATAATCTTATAATTTACTGTCTGTGCTTCACAGCAACAATTTTTGTGAAAATAATGACACATTTCTCATCTGCAGCATTCATATAAACAGGCACACATCAAAAATAATACTTATTGGAGGAGCACATTTTCCAATATATTCCTACCTGCCCATTGAGATCTAGGAATGAGGACCTTCTGAGAGAGCCATTTCTAAAGAAAAATAAAAGGGATAGCATTTAGAAGAAGAGCCTTCTCAGTGGCTGTCCCCACCCTCTAGAATGGGCTTCTTAAAGAGGTCCTTCTGATGCCATCTCTACTTTCATTTCAGCACCAGGCAAAACCATCCTCTTTCGCAGATTTTCAAAACCTGAATTTAAAACCCAATTATCAGTGCACACTCTACTCCAACAAATGTCCTTCCCTCTTCCCCCTGTGCAGGTACTTGTACTGTGAGCTGTATAGTGATAGTGCTAGCTGCTTGAGAGTCCTGTTGGGTTATTGAGCAGCATATAAATTTGAAAATAACATAAATTCATAAATAAGTCAGATCCATGTGGTCTATCACCAGAATCATTCAGGCTGTTCTGCATGGGCAAATTGGAAAGAGACTGAACAAACTTTCAGTTATATGCTAATGTGTGAAAATAATGGGATTTATTCTACTTTCATTTATCAATAAGCATCCCTTGTGGAAATGAATATGTTGCTTGTTTCTCCAGTGCAGTGGGGTCCTGTTAGGCCTCCACAATGCCTGTCTGCACTGAGAGTGCACCCTAGAATATGTGCAAGAGGCACATGACAGGAAAGATACATATCAGTGCACAGCCTCCCTTTATCAGAAGTTTATCCATCATTGCTCTTCTTCCCGCTAAGAAAGCTCTGATAAGTTTTCAAAGAACACAAGAATTCTCCAGACAGCAGCTTGAAAAGAACTGCTCTAACATGTTTATTAAGTTCAGGAAGCAATCCTGCAAGGAAGCTACATGTTCCATTATGTTGACCTATTTATGTGTATTTTTTCCTAGCTATTTGACTTGGTGTACAGAGAAGAGACTCTGCTGAATGTAATTAAAAGTGTTACACGGAATGGGCGCTCCATTATCCTGACAGCGGTACTGGCTCTTATCCTTGTCTATCTCTTCTCCATTGTTGGTTTCTTGTTCTTGAAAGATGACTTCATTATGGAGGTGGAAAGACTGAAAAACAGGACAACTATTGCAGGTATTGCTCCTACCTCCAATCCCTATTGCCATGGAGGCCTGTATAGTGTATTACTGAGTCCAAATTAGAAGTGCTGCTGGTCCAAGGCAAATAAGATGGATGGATGGTTAGATAGTGCAGTATTATTTGGGTAGTGCCATTTTGCCAGTTTTGCTTCTTCAACCTTCTTTGGAGCACGGATACACAGTGTAGTCAGTAATTTGAGATGCATAGGGTAAAATAAGTGTTTGATAGAATAAAGCTGAAATATATGTCGTTTACTCGCTTTGGAAATGTTAAATTAGTGTTTTACTCAACTCCATACATATTTACAAATGAGCATCAAACAGTATTTTCATCCCTGAAAACTCTTAAGTATTCCAGATTCAAAAAGATGACACATCAGCTCAGTGTCCTCCTTGTCAGCCTTTGTGAATAATTTAATGGTTTTTAAAACTGACGTTATTTTCATATCTGACAGTTGTTTCTAGCTTTGAATATATTTTATACTAACTAGATGGAGTTCTGTTTGATGTCAGTTCTTTAATTTAGGCAGAAGCAGCAGCAAAGCCTGTGATATATTGTAAATGTGAAAAAAGGGTACCTTCATTGCTATGATTACTTTATATTTCTTACTGAATAGCATTCTGATTTATTTCTTTGTTTCTTCTGACATGAAATGAGTGATGTAAAGACATGCCAAAACATATATTCAGAGTGACTTAAAATTCAATTAATTTTGTATATTTGAATTTTCTGGTTCAAAGCTAATGGTTTTTAAAAGAAAAGCATTGTTTTCAGAGTACAAAATATGATGGTTGGATGTTCAAACATTATTTAAATCATTCTTAGTAAGTAAATTAGAAGTAGAGAGTAATCTCAAGTTGTGTAGTACAAATTAATAAAGTAACCAAAGGGAGTTGTTCTTCCTAATTTCGCACTGCATTTGAATACTTGTGAATAAAGTGTAAATGCAAATGTGGTTTTAAGATGTGCCATTGCCAGCAAGCATCTGACCTATTTTAATATGTCTGATACAGCTTGCATATAATTTTGCAGCAAATCATTCTTAGACAAGATTTTGTTTTTTGTTCTGACAGACAGTGCCACTATGCCTACCACAGGCTTAACAACAATGGTCAACACATGTTCAGCAGAGAACTGCAGCACTACAATACCAGCTATAAAATCAGGTTAGTCGAATACCCACAGAGAGGTTTCTGTTTCCACTAGGGAAGTATCCATTGCTTAGCTGCAGGAGAACTAGATGATATGGAGAATGTATGGCTGCCACTCAAGGCAGCAGACCTGTGCCCCTTTCTTTCTTTTATTTTTTGTATGTATTAGATTTATATCCCACTTCCTTCTTACAACAAACTCAGACTGACTTGCAAGACTCTCCTCCTGCTCTCAGACTTATCCTCACAGCAATAACCCTGTGAGGTACATTGGGCTGAGAGTCCATGACTGGCCCAAATTCACCCAGTTGGCTCTATGGCTGAATGGGGACTAGAACCCAGATTGCTGGAACCCCAGTCCTGCGCTCTTAACCATTCTGCCACACTGGCTCTCTTCCTCTTCCTCTCTCTCTCTCCCCCTCACAGTGACATGCCATCTAGTAAGGTACAGCCCAGTCTCATTGAGGTTTTCTATGCCCCTGCACTGTTTCATGGGCTGCTTGCAGGAATGGCATAAATTTGCAACGTGGTATTATGTATCATACTATGATGATTGGGGAATGCTGAGGGTTGTAAGACATTTTTCTGCCTACACACACACAGGATTGCACTCTTAGTCATTACTGGGGGAAAGTGGAAGACGGTATGCGGGGTTGCCATTTTGGCAACAGCCATCTATTTTCTGTATGGTCTAGTTCTGCTGTATGCATGTCCTGAAAATAATCTTGTCATATACCTCCCTTGAAACTACAGGTGAAGAAACTGATGAGGATGGGATTGAGAGGACATGCGACACTCTGTTAATGTGTATTGTGACAGTATTGAACCAAGGCCTGAGGAATGGTGGTGGAGTTGGAGATGTCCTTCGAAAGCCTTCCAAAGATGTAAGTATTTATTTAATTCCTATACCACCCAAAAGCCAAAGCTGTGTCATGTACAGTGCAACAGCTGTGTGCCTGGATGCATTTATTAAATGTTGCCATCTAACTCTTATGGACAAACTAGGTGACCCCACTGAAACTCTGGCTCCTTTGATTAAACATGGATGTGCATGGATCACTTGCTGATATGAGTGAGACAGGAAGTCCATAGAAGACTTCTTGCAGAAGACACTGGAAAAGATATCTAAAAGTCTAGGCCTCCCTATTTTTTCCTAGTCTTATTAATCTCTCTTAAATTAGCCACATAAGTTGAATAGGAAGTAATGACCCATGATAGAGCAATGGGCTTGCATGTACTGCTTGACCTGGACAGATATTATCAAAACATATATGATATTGTTTTCAGCTGAGCGCAAATGTGTCATTTAAATAATAACAATAAAATAAATAACATTCTTGTCATTTCAGGAGCCCCTCTTTGCTGCTCGAGTCATTTATGATCTTCTGTTTTATTTCATTGTTATAATTATTGTCCTGAACCTCATCTTTGGAGTCATCATTGATACATTTGCAGATCTGAGAAGTGAAAAGCAGAAAAAAGAGGAAATCCTAAAGACAACGTGCTTTATCTGCGGTATGTATTAGAGAATTATTAAATGGGGAGAGTCCAAGCCATTTTAAAAAAGCTTTCTTCTTTAATAAGAGGTGATTTGCAGCACCTCTTATTGCTTTGCAGTGGCAAATGGAAGGGCACGTCAAAAGATAACTTTGATGTACACTTGCCGTGGGATCTAAGAATCAAGTTTGTCTCATGCTGGCTTTCCTTTTTCTTGTACTAATAAATTATGAGTATATCATATGTTAGGGTAACTTACAGATACTGCTGGATTGGTCCAGGATAAGGACTCTATGCCCTGATTCTCAGAACACCTACATGCTCTGAGTGGATAATTTCCGGCCTAATTACTTTTGCATTCAGATATTAAAGCCTTTACACTGAAAACTGTTTACTTGCTTGACAAACAACCCTCACACAATCAGAATATATGTCGTAAATAAATGCTATAAGTCTTAGCCTTCCGTTAATTGACTTGATAGCTTGCTCCATGTTGTTTGAACCTTAGAAACACTGACCTCCATGCTGCCCCGTGGGATGAGCTGGGCTTCATATTTTTATAATAATTATGGTTTATGATTTATAGACTGCTGAAGCAGTTTGAAAATGAAACAAGTTGAAAACAACACAGATGGATCTTAACAGGCATAAATATCTATCAGACCCACAACCAGACAACCCCACTTCCTACCCCCAGACATTTCTCCAGCATTAAATTATCATCTAAAAATTTATTGTGTGACCACACTTGGAGCACTCTGGTCATCTGTCCATCTATCTATATCCATGTATATTATAAAGCTGAAAATGTTGCAGGGAAGGGTAACAGCCCAAGAAGGAAAATGTACAAAGTTTTCAGTTTAGAAAAAAGGCAAATAAAGGAAGATGTAATAAATGTGATATTTTACATGGTGTTGAGGAAATGGATGGAAATAAGCTTTTTTCCCTCTCTCATCATAGTAGAAATCAGCATCATCCAATGAAGCTGAATGCAGGATAGTTCGTGAGCAGCAGTTCATAATTAAACTTGGAATTGGGCACATAAGATGTGCTGATAGCCACCTGCTTAGTTGACAGCTTCATAAAGGATAGGGCTATCCGTCTCTACTAGTTGGGCTCTATACTATTCCAAGTATGTTTGTACTTCTTATGAGCATTGGTTAGTTGATGAGGAGTACCAGAAAGAGGATGCAGGATTAGATGGACAGGTGGTCTACTCAAGCAGGACTGTTATCTTCAGATTAACATTCAAGCTAAAGCTCTTTGAAATAAAGCAGTCTTCAACTGCCTCCTAAATGGCAACATAGAGGAATCCAGGTGAACCTCCTTGGGAATGAGTTCCAGAATTGGGATACCTCCACCTAGAAAATTCTCAGACACACTTTAGATGGCACTATCACAGATAAAATGGTGGATCTGGAATATCTTCTCATACTGGCAGATATATGGGAATTTTTTCTTTGTGTTAGAAGTTTTAGGCTGAAATATTCCATAAGGCAATGAGGTGGAGTGCACAAGTCATCCTGCAAATGGATGAACTGCCATCTTGATTTGGAATGAGGTGTTTCTTTCCAACATTTTCAAAGTCTTAGGAAAGTCTGGGGCTCTTTAGGAGTTCTAGGAAGACTGGAAAATCTGGCCCATTTCAAATCTTGTGAGCCTTCCACAGCATCTGCTTTCTCTTCCCCACTGCACAGAACTTGCAAAACCATGCTTCTTAGTACCACTGAAGTAGAGGAGAGCAAAAAACAGGGCTGTATCTCAGGTCTTCATTAGTCTCAAAATCCTTAAAAGGGTGCTTCCAGTACAAAGATCTCTGGGAACTCAAGTTTGCCAGGGCTTCCAGGCCATTAAAGGTAAAGGTAAAGGTTTCCCCTTGACATTACGTCCAGTCATGCCTGACTCTAGGGGGTGGTGTTCATCTCCATTTCCTAGCTGAGGGAGCCAGCGTTTGTCCCCAGACAGTCTCCGTGGTCATGTGGCTGGCATGACTAAACACCGAAGTGCACGGAACACTGTTACCTGCTCACCGAAGTGGTACCTTTTTATCTACTTGGATTTGCATGCTTTTGAACTGCAAGGTTGGCAGGAGCTGGGACAGAGCAATGGGAACTCACCCCATTGTGCAGATTTGAACCAGTGACCTTTTGATCATCCAGCCCAGCAGCACAGCGGGAAATGGCAATTAATGAAATTTGGAAGCCTAACGAATGCCCAAGAAGGAGCTCTCTCATCTCTCTCCTCTGTGGTATTGCTTTGGGAAAGGAAAGGGGTAGCTTATAATGGCCTAAACCTGTGTATAAGCCTAGTTGAACCTCAGATTGTAAATAATATGCAGTTTCTCAGCTGACCCACTTGAAGCTGGGCAGCATCACTTGCCTTTTTTGTGATAAAGTAGAAGGCAATTTCCTGCTGAGGGCTTCAAGTGTGTACTGGACCAGGGCCATATATGCTAGCCATTCCCCTGCATCTCCAACTTCCTGATATCAGGGGTTTTCATTATCAGGACTGCTGATTACATGGAGACTTTGGATAGAATTCAAACGAGCACACTGTCAGACCTTGCCAGTTCAACATGGCAAGGAGAGGAGTCAGGGCAGGGTCCCATGGATGGGCTAGCATACTTATTTCCCATCCCACTACACATTTGAAGTCCTCAGACAATTCCAAGAAATAATGGACTGGGCTATTGTCTTCATTTATAGCTTCTGTATTTTTGTGTTGTTTTATAATGTATGGTGGTGTCTTGAGGCATTTTTGCAAATTACAAAAAACAAATATGTCTGATTGTGTGTGGTGTCTTTTCAAGGTTATTTTTAAAATGTGTAACAGCAACAACAATTGGTAGGACAATGGAGCCAATGAAGTATCTTGTATTCTCTCTCCTTCTCACAGGCCTTGAGCGGGACAAATTTGATAATAAGACAGTTTCATTTGAGGAGCACATAAAGTCAGAGCACAACATGTGGCACTATCTGTACTTCGTAGTCCTGGTCAGAGTGAAAGACCCTACAGAATACACTGGTCCTGAAAGTTATGTGGCTCAAATGATAGCGGTGAGTCAGTTTTGGATGAGTTTTGGTTGCAGCGGAGAGGTGACCTTTTCAGGTATGGCAGGATTGTATTTTACTGGGAAGCTTCCAACTGTATCATTACAAGGGCATTTTAATGTTTTTGTAACAACCTGTGGCAAAAACCCATGATGCAAAGATGAAGGCAAGAATCACAGTTACTATCAGGCTCACAACCCACAGGGCTGAGCAGAGCAAAAGGACAGAGTTAAAAGCGAATTCACAAAACTAATCCTTTCTCCTGTTATTACTGATCTGAGGGAACATGGACAGAACCACTGAGGGCTGTTGTAATAATTTTGAGAGCAGGAACAGTTTTCAGTTCATAGGGAATCAAACTCCATGGGTACAGCACGGGAGAGTTTGACCCTGGGAACCTTGGGATATTTCTGAAGCACGAGGGTGACCTTTTCAGGTATGGCAGGATTGTATTTTACTGGGAAGCTTCCAACTGTATCATTACAAGGGCATTTTAATGTTTTTGTAACAACCTGTGGCAAAAACCCATGATGCAAAGATGAAGGCAAGAATCACAGTTACTATCAGGCTCACAACCCACAGGGCTGAGCAGAGCAAAAGGACAGAGTTAAAAGCGAATTCACAAAACTAATCCTTTCTCCTGTTATTACTGATCTGAGGGAACATGGACAGAACCACTGAGGGCTGTTGTAATAATTTTGAGAGCAGGAACAGTTTTCAGTTCATAGGGAATCAAACTCCATGGGTACAGCACGGGAGAGTTTGACCCTGGGAACCTTGGGATATTTCTGAAGCACGAGAATCCATGTTTATCATATGATTTTTTTAAAAACTTTTTGGCTATAACACTCCTTCTAGATCAGGGTTGGGGAACCTTTAATCATGAGTCACATGCCAACATTAGGCAGGACTAGGGCTGAACGCCAGTGGGGCTAGCCCATTTTCCCCTTTCTGACACTCTCTCTTATACTCCCTCTCCTCAGAGGGCTGAACAGATAGCTTGCAAGAGTGAATATATGTTGGCAGAATACAGAGTGAAATCCTATTTTATTTAAATCAATCATGTTTTATGTCTTTGAAGTTAGTAGAAACAGGGGTTTTGCCATCTTATATGCAGGACCATTTTTTACAGCACCTTTAGTAGACTATCATTTGTTTCTAACTCCTATCAGAAGCCTTTGATACTGTAGTCTCAGTGGTACAAGATGAAGCATTACATTTCATAATAAGCAGCAAAAGCAACAGGTGGTAAGGGAGAATGTTTCTGTGCTGAAAAATATTTTCATTCTCCCCTACATCTAGGAAAATAAACTGGCAAAACCTTATAGAACGAGATGGCCTCTGCAGTGAGGGGATAAAACAGAGCAAGATGTGAGAATTTATGCTTTTAAAAATGTAATTAAGATGATATTTGAGCTACCTTTAAGGATAGTATATTGGCAAGAGAGCTCAATATTTGTGTTTACAACAGCTGAGCGCCAATGTATGCATTTCACAGAATGAAATACTTTCAAATTACAAACTTCTAAAGTATACTCATGTAGACCCTGCAAGTGGTAAATCAGCACTTCATGGATAAATATTTGTTTAATCCATCTCCCTGATGTGCTAATTTCCTATATGTTGGAAGCTTTTCACTGGAGTAGTAAGAGGGTATTCAAAACTATGGCCCTACAGTTTGAAACAGCAAAGAGCAGAATTCAGCCACATCTGTCTTCCAGTCTTACATCGGTCTCAGAATTTTCAGGCATTCTATGTGTGGATTAACCACACCTTCCAAAAAAGATGAGGAGGAGTGATTGCTCCCCACTCATCTCTCTCAACTATGGTTCTCTTCCTCTATTCAAGGAGAGTACCTGTCAGAACATGAATGCCTCCTGGATTTCCTGCCATTTTGCCTGATGCAGAGAGCTTTCCAATCACAGGAGACTCTCTTCAGGCATTGTCCCTCCATGGGTCCAAGCCAACAAATGCAATGAGGGAGAGGGGCAGGCCAGAACGCTCCCTTTCCTCAAGCACTGACTTCATCCACAAACAATCCCTATTGTGCAGATATTCCATTCAAAAATGTGTTCTCAATCACTTCCCTGAATAAGCAACAAATAAGCAAACGAAGCGTGAGATCCCTGCCATTCTTTTCATGGTGGAACATTTCAGACAGTGAGGAGACCATCAGAGAAGCTATAACAAGTGGAGGACAGGAAGTGTAAGTCATTTGCACCTGCCATTGCTGTCATTTTTGTGCAACCTTCAGAGTGGGGACTCACGCAATTTCCCCATGGGGAGGTGCATGAACTGTACCCATTTCTGGAGTGCCCAGATCTCATGAGTAAGATGCATGGCTTTCTGCTACTTGCATTACATGAGAAATGCAAAACAGGAAGCATGAATCACTGTCTCCCCACCTCCTGCAATATGTAGTGATATCTACTAAAATAGGAAATATGGACTTTTAAAGTAATGCTGAGCACAATTGACTCCTCACCACTTGGTCTCCCTGCTCCCTGTGAAAATAAACAACAGTGGGAAGATGCAGACTCCATCCCACTGGATGCCAGGAATCAACTCCCCCCACCCCCTGGCTCCTGCTGTAGGAGAAGGCAGGAAATGAAGGCAGAAAGAACTGGTCTCATTCCATCATTCATGCACACCTTCCAACTAAATTCAAGGCTTGTAGTTCACAAATGATCCCCAGAACAGCTGAGTAACAGTAGAATTCACCTGCATGTCTTCATATCTATTTAATACTCGTGCTGTGGAGAATCTAGTGGACCCTACATTGAGGGGAATGATGGTGGGAACTGCCTCTCCGTTTTCCCTATAGCAGTGTTTGTTTTAATTAAAGACTGACAGGTGTTTTGTTTCTAATCATAACTTCAGTTGTAATTGATTCAGTTAGTTGCACCTGCTCCTTCAAGCGCTTGTCCAAGAAATCTCTAAACTGAACTGCTGCATTTAAGCACCAGAATCTTTTCTTTGTTAAAACTGAGGCATGTGCTAGAGTTTTTGATCAATCCAAGGCTTCATGGGGTGGGTCCATCATACTCAGCCCTGCTCCCTGCCTCCCCACACAAACCTGGTGCCCACCTACTCCTCTGGGCTCTAAAGAGGGCTTTGTAATGCATCCAGCTGAATGCACTTGCAGAGTTCCCATGACTGTGAACCCTGCCTTGTCAAATTTTCTGATTCTGGGAGCACAGTAAGCATGCCCATCTGGGCCTGTGTACAGGACTCTCTTCAAACCAGAAGCCAGGTGTGCAGGGCAGCTGGAGTTGGCACTTTTGTGTGTGCCCACATTCCCTGGCTTTAGCCATGCACTTGATCTATGGAGGGAAGCAGAAATCACCAGTTCTGCAAAACAGCATGAGATACATAGTTTTTTATATGTGTGAGTGTGTGTGTACAGAGAAGCATGAGAATGACTGCTCTTTTTCTGCAATAATACTTGAATGTTATGTTCCTCCTTGTGTTAGTGCATGCCATGGGAAGTGATTAGTAATTAGTGATTCATCTAGGTGGTTAAGATACTGTACAGGCCTGCAATGCACAGACTTGGTTGACACACTGCACTCTACCATTTGATCTTCCGTTACTTGTTTAGTCAACATGCAGCTTGCATTAAGGAAGTCCATATAGCTCAGTAACAGAGCACATGGTTTGTATGCAGCATAAATAAATAAATAAATAAATAAATGCAAGCACCAAGTATGCTTCATACTCTGGTATTAAACCTGAATGCAACAGGAAAGGAAAATATGGTCATGTGTGAACAGATGGTGTCGATTTTTGTATGGGTGTTGTCTAGATTACAATACTGGATTGGTAGTTATGTTGTTTATCGTTCCTTCCAACTACTCCTTTTTTATTGTTCAAACTTGCATGGTATCATGTATTAATATTTATTCCAGTGTGTGTATTAATATTCATACTAAGTGTATTAATCCTCTGGTGCCAGCAGTTGGAAATTACTGATGCAGTGCACTAATGTATTTTTCATTAGCACTAATGGTGGGATCTCTGGAGTTGAGCCTCTAAAATATTAACACAGGCACCAAAGGCCTCTCTGTACCTCATGCTTTCAGTTTGAAAAACCAGTTTTGGAAGTATAATGACTCAGGATGTTGATAGCAGATAGATGGATTTTATTTGATACTCTGTTTTGAATGACTGATTTGGTGGAATGCATTGTTTGAGTAGGAAAGCATGGTTTTAAAAAATAAATGTAAGTTCAGGTTGAGGAAAGATGCTTTGTATTAATTTTAAAAAGGGGAGAAATGGCTAGGGATGGGCTGACCCTCCTGCAGTGTCTGCATCAGAAATAATTCAGTGGAACAAGATCATGCTGCTCAATGCCCTCCAGATATTTAGCAATGCAATCCCGGTCTCAAAATGGATCTGGTTCAGCTACATGCATCTCCTCTTTCTGCCATGAGTTCCTTTTCCCAAACTTGCTTGACTGCACCAGCAGCAGTAAAGGGACCTCCAGTGGGGTGCAGATGGGCCCCCATAAGAAGCCTTTAAGATAGTGCCATAATCATGTGTGCCTCTACCAGAGTCCAGGACTTCCAGAAATCATGGAAACTGTACAATCCCAGTACTTTAAACAGTTTTAATTACTCTCAAAATTTGATCCTGTGAAGATAAAGAGTTCCTGCATTGTAAAATAAGCTACTGCATCATTATCAAATATGAGCTGCATTTTTTAAAAAGTACAAAAATAAACTCAGTAGTATTGATCAGCAAGTTATCCCTTTTTAAAAAGAAGCTGCAACATACAATATGCATAGAGAAGAGTATTGTAAAGAAGATGAAGCAGTTTGGTTAAGTGATTGCATACATCTTCATTCATGTTGCAAGATTATTGTCTTCAGACATAAAGCTCTTACATTTCAGTTGTGTTTGCATTTTAGCCTTTGTCCAAAAATTAATAGATATTATCAAAGCTCATGTTATACAAATGAGACTCATGTGCTTCTTATCTCTCATTAAACCCCCACAATATTTTGTCTAAATTGATTACGTTTTAAAATACTGGGGCAGCATGCACAACTAAATTATCTATAACACAAATTGTATATAATAGCATGCTCCATAAGGCCAACCTGACAGGACATTTTGCTTAGAAATACAGTCTGCGTATATTGTACAATGAAGTTTTATTAAAACAAGCAACTCACTAAGTGACTGACCTAAAGCACCCCTTTTCATAAGCCAAAGAAGTCAGCATAGGTACAGAGACCCCCCCCCCCACATCTTCATTTGGAACAGAAGTGTACCCATCAAGTCCAAGGATTTTATTTTGGTGTTCAATAATTTTATTCTATTTCATTAATTAATTTCATAATTCTGAGCTCAGATATATAAGACTATATAAAAAGGAGACTTCATAACCAAGGTGCAAGTTTATGAAGACAAAAACAAGGCGCAACTGCCATTGCCAAAACACTGATTCCCAGTGTTATTCTTCTTAAGCAAAACACTGACCAAGGGCAACACTATGTACCAAAATATCCAGGGCTCAGGCTCTCAGGGAGAAAAATACATATATAAATACATAGGCCAATTTACATAGCCTCTAAATTTCTTTGTGTGTGGGTATCTTTAAATTAACCTGTCTCCTAAGGATACCCCTATTTATAAAAAGGGTTGTATGGGCAAGAGGGAAGAAAAAACTTCAGGCAGAAAGATGTGTGGGAGAAGCTAGGGGGTGAAGCACATGTAGCGAAAAAGCCAGCTGAACAAGGGGGCTTGGGTGCATCAAAAATAATCAGGGCCCCTATGCCTTTATTTCAGTAAATATCCATGGAAAACGGGGTGGTTGGCCAGATGGCCTTCCAGAAGTTCAGGGCTCCACTGCCCCCGATATTGACCAACTTGAGGTTGTTTGCATTAAATTAGAGTCAAGCGAACCTTGGGTGTCCAGGAAGGGTCTAAATATTCTTCAGTGAAAATGTTGGTAGTGGTGGCAGATGAACTTCCTAACAGACAACATTCCTACTAATGGTGAAAGGGTAACATGCCCTGCTCCCAGATTCTGTTCAAAACTGAGCTTGGCAAACCAAGCTATTTTCTATTAGAGAAAAAAAGAAGCATTCCTGGTTAATTTTCTTATCTTTGGATCCCCATTTTGTTCTTGATTGCATATAAGTAGCATGACTGGCCTCCCATGAGACTCTTCTCCAGCTAGCATGCATGGTGACGTCACCAGAGAAATCCCTTTATCTGCTGACCCCTGCTGCTCTTGTAGGGATGGTGGCAGGAAGGGACAGAGCAAAGCTGATAAATGTATAAGGCAGAGAAGAATCACAAACAAGGGCCAGAATTGGAAATATTGGTACACTTCATTAGCACCCAAAATTCACATTACAAGCCAGATCATTGTGACGTTCAGCGGCATCACTGGGTGCAGCCTCACCCAGTGCTCCTTGTGTTGTCATGCACCTGCATGTCCAGTGAATTCTGAGAGGTACTTTCTATTCATGTAGAACAAGGATGAGCTTCAGAACTCTGAACTAATGCTCCGTAACGCATCCCAGAATTTCCAAAGTAAACCAAAGAGTGTGACAGACACTCAGGGATTCCTCAATATAACATGTCAGTGCAGGAGAGATCTTTAAGAGCAGTCGGTCTTAAAACCAGTGCAACATGTCAATATACAAAGAAGGACTATTAATCCTTACTGTGATGCTTGGAGCACATAAAGTACATTCTGGGTTCTTCTCTGTATTGGTAGAACTAAGAAAGAAAAAGAGGTTCTCACCGAAGACCATGTCTTGAATTCATAGCTGAAAAAAGATTTATGTTTACTTTCCAGAAATATTAAAGATAAGCCATCTATCAACCTCAATCACAATATTTCAGGTTTCAGTGGCGAGAAAAATCATACAATCTTGAATCATCTTTGGTTTTCTATTTAATAATGTTTTTTTCTTATACTACTTCCTGTTAGAAAAACCACAAAACTATGTTTATCTGCTTGGAACAAGTGGCCTGAATTTGACTATCTGCTGAGATTTGTGCCATTGGTCTTTTAGGAACTTTAAATGTGCTTTTTGTCAGGTTCCCCCCACCCCCCATTTAGATGCAACACTACTTCATGAAATCAGCTTTCCCTTTTTTCGAGGTGCATCCATAATAAAAACAATAGGTTAGCATTCTCTTTCAAGAAGGAGATCAGGGCCGTCTTAAGGCATGGGCCTGATGGGCACTGTGTATGTTAACCCTTGGAAAATTGGAAAACTTCCAAAATTAACAGTAGTTGTAGTTGTTGTAGGGGCCCCAGTACACTGCTTTGCCCGGGGCCCATAATGCTGTTAAGACGGCCCTGAAAGAGATTATATACAGAAGGAAGACATATCAACTGTGGAGAAAGAAATCAATAAAAATGTATCTAAAGGACAACATGCAACATGTTTCATGAAGCAATTTAATAAAACTTTGTTTAGAAAATGGTGTAAAAGGGTAGATAAAAAGGTTAACAGTTTGGTCAGTGTGGATTGATTAGTATGCATGTGACACCATTTAATCTTACAGTGTTAACAAAATTTTTCACTATTCTACTTTCATTCCCCTGAAGGTCATTTTTGGATTGTGTATCTCAAATATTGCACATCTTCCTTCCAACTGATTTACAGTAGAAAACTCTGCTGTCATCTTTCAAATTTCAGGAACCATAGTATTATGGATTCATATTCTTATCATTATCTACTTCATTCTGTTGGGTTTTATACCAGTAGCATTACCATCCTATGCTAAGGCTGTATGAGAAATTTGGTTTAGTTTGTTTTTCATTTATTCAGTTCACACCTTCTAGACTGACCTAGGACTCAGATGCATTCTGCAGTTGAAGTCCATACCTTTGTGAGCTTGCAGTGCAATTTGTGGACCAAAAGGGTTCAACAACATATGCACAATTGAAAAGTAAGCATGGGAAAATGGTATAATTTTGAAGTCTCACAAATGCATTTGGATCAATGGAAGTATGCATTCATTTCAGATATATGAAATGAATATTGATATATACATTTGAAAAATATATTCAAAAATACACATTGCTATTCCTGAAAAATGAAAACAAAAACCAAAGCTTGCAATCTAATATGGACTCAAGACAGAAAAGCCTTTGAAATGGAATTTGGAGACCCTTGGTGAGCTTGACTTTTGCTGAATCACATATCCCTATCCTATGTTGATAAACCCCATTGGCTTCAATGATAACCATGCATAGGATTGCAGCCTTAGAAGGCACTGATTATACTTCACAGTTCAAGAAAACAGAAGTGCAGCAGTGCACCTACCTCAACACCAATCTGTGACTCTTGCACAGTAGACGAAGCCTCTTTCGGTAGCCCAGGTCTCAGCAGCTGGGCTGCCACTGACTTGAGCCAAAGCTAAAGAGCCTTGCTGAGAGTGAGCAGGGGGTGGAGAAGCTGAATTTGAGGTCATTACAAGCCACCAGTGACCTGAGGGTCTTGCAGCAGTGAACATTTCACTCATTGTTATTGTCTGGATCGCTTTCTCGTCATACTAATAATAATTATTTATTTATCCATTTAAAACTTTTCTATACTGTCCCTTCACAGATGTCTTGGGACATTGTGCAATAGATTAATACGAGTAGCAGTTGCACAGCATCCAATGTAAATATAAAACCACCAATTAAAACAGGTTAGCAATTAAAATATTGGGAGAATAAAAAGTGTTTCGCCTGACACGAAAAGGAAAGAAGCATTGGCACCAGGTGATCCTCTCTGGGTACTGGGTGATAATGGTTGTTGTTGTTATATAATTATTTTATATTTTATATTAGTATGTTTGTGTTGTATTCTATGTTTATTTTAGGTCACACTATTTTAAATGCATCCATGCTGCTGATTCAAGCCTGTGCACTTGAAGCACTTGGCCTAAATTAAAAGTAAAAACTATATTAATAATGCAGTGTATGAAAAGTGTTTGGCTTATGTGAAGCTGTTGCTAAGCCAGATGGAGCCCAGGTGTGGAAACCTTGGCCTTGACTTGCCATAATGTTTGGCATTTTGGAAGGGCAACCTTGAAATAAATTGAAACCTGGATCAGTAGACTTTCTACCACTGTTTGCTTAGCATGGAAAGCACCCTTGATGTTCCAGGATGGTGTACTTTATCAGGCTATGGGTTCAGACAATGTAGCTTGTTTGTATGGCTCTGCTCTGGGTAAGAGCTTGAGCAAAGTTTAGTTTCTCAGGAGGCAAGACGGCAAGACCCACAGAATATTCCAAGAGATGCTGGAGCTGAAGCTAGACAAGGCTGTATGCTGCATTATTCCCCACATCTGTTACCTGACTTGGGATAGGGGAAAGATGAACAAGCTAAGGGACAAGGAGTTCTGAGACAAAGTAGCTGGGAATAGCCACTAAAAATAGAGCACTATTCTATATTTGTTTCCCTCTCCTACTCTCCTTGACACACAAACTCTCACACACATACACACTGAGGAACATGGGAGTTGTTAACTCAGGAGGAGTCAGGTGCTGGAATTGTCTGATGACCAGGTGAGAAAGACGGACATTGATGGGGTTGTCCACATGGATCCAGCATTCACCCACATACTGCGGTAGATGGAGTCATGTGTCAGGAAAGTAGCTTCCACACTATTAGATGCATGAATGTGTTCATTGGATGTCAGTCTGATCCTAAAAGACCAGATCTTGATTTAACACATCCAGGGGATGGCAGAGTTTGGGATTAGCTGGCATATTTCCTAGCAGTGATGACTGCCAACAGTTAAATAAATTAATCCCAAGAAAGAGTTATTCTCCCCTTCGTAAACAAGGGAGATGTTTAGTCAGTGGAGGAACTCACATTCTGGGCAGGTTCACATTCATGAACATCAAATTATAATAAAAGTTGAAACTGTTTTGCAAGGAAACAGAGGAAGAAGTAATAATATTAACTCAGTTGGGTAAACTGCCAGAGTATAATTAGCAGCCTGACTCTCTGCATGTTTATCTGGAAGTAAGTCTTACTGAGCTCAGTGCAGCTTTCTCCCAAGCTATTATGCCAAAGATTGCATATGCTCCTGCTGGATCAGTTTACCGTGAAAGGTGCCCACATTCTGGTGCCTTTCCTTCATAAATAAATGTCCCTATTTGGAAGTAACTGTAGGAAAGCTTTTCAGTGGGGTGAGAGGTACACACATTTGTGTCCATATGTGTGTACACTAGGGGTGCAGTATAATTTTCTTTGATTCCCATCTTGATAAGGACATGCCAGAGTCACATGTCCCAAGCCAATATATGAAACCCTTCAGTATTTACATTCATAATGCAGTTTTCCAAACAAAATATTCCATATAAAATGCATACATAACAGGGAAATACATACAAAAGTGTGTATTTTATTTATTTCTTACATTTCTATCTCATCTTTTCCCCCTCTTCCAAAGAACCCAAGGTGACTTACATAATCCTCTTTTTTCCTCTCTATTTAATCTTTGCAACAATCCTGCGAGGTAGGTTAGCCTGAGATTCAGTGACTGGCCCAAAGTCAGCCAGTGAGGTGCATTGCTAAGAGGACACTAGAACCCAGATCTTCTGGGTCCCTGTGTAACACTCCAACCACTATGCCATACTAGCTGTCATATTAGTGGAGAAAAGTAAAATATTTTTTATAAAGGAAAACTGGCAAAAATATGTCTGTTATTGGAAATTGCACCACAAAATGCTCATATTAGGAGAAATATATAACAATACATATGAACAGTGTGCTGAGTTTTTAAAAACATGCTAAGGGACACAGGATGGAACAAACTGAAGACTGGAAAAATGGGAAGCAGAGAGAAGCCAAAATTGGCAAATTGGTCCATCCCTTTTATATATATCCCTTCTCATACCTATCCAGGTATTTTGCAGAATGTGTTCGCATTTCAGCTACTCTGTCATAAATATAATGGGATCCATTTTGAGAATAAATCAATTCTTAAGTAAACTGTTATTGTCAGTTTATTAACACACTTTCACAATTATAGCAGAATATGCTATTGCAGCATGCATGGCTGTAGCAGAAGTTAACTGCAGAGCAAATGAAAATTAGACAGAGATGAGCTTGTAGCAAGGTGTAAGTGGGTTTTAGGGGAATGTGTGAGAACAGGGGTATGATGTATTCACAAGTGTGCTCTCATTTCCTCTCTGAAATGCTGGAAGAGGGCGGGGGGGAGGGGGCTGCAGCCTCACTAAAGTCCTCTTCAGGCATTCAGGCTGGGTGCATGAAAGGGCTACCCTGAATACCTAGCCTGCCTCCCTAACACTGACATACATGCCAGCCACACCCCCTGGCTGATCCATGATTGGCCCACTTGAAAGGGCATAGGATTTCCTTCACTAGGATGAGGACCTTGAGTGTCCAGATTTTCGTGCCTTTGCTGCAAATCCTATGCATGTAGAAGATTACAGTGACTGTCCTGATAATGTGTTAGCCAGGAAGCACGCCTTTTCTTTGAGAGGCAGAGCTAACACTATTGCATTCCAACTTGCCTCTTTGTGTGTTTAGTGCTTGCTAGTACTCAGTGCTTAACATAGCCTTTCAAATATGTAAATCACAGATGCCCGCAAAAAATGGACTATATGATGTTGGAAATACCTCCTTAGTGACTATTGTGTCTTTTGTCTTCCTTCCGGCAAAAAGCCCATCATGCACAACTTAACAAATCAAGGGTTCTCTCCATGGGTTGCTTGTAGTTCACAGGCAATGGCTTGTTACCGGAGCTGGGTTCAACAACATGCTCCCCCTTGTTTCAACAAGTCTCGGTCAACAACCACCACTCAGTGTTGTGGTTATTGTGCTGTCTAAACCCAGTCATTTAGTAGCAGGCCCAAAAGCACTTGATGGTGGCTGGCCATTTAGAGAGCCTTTTTGTTTGATGTGCAAAGAGGTTTTTCTCTCTATGAAAGTCAAGGTGAAATTTAAATGGATTCTGTACCTCCAATTTTAAGGACATCTGCTTTTTGCTGCCAAGATACTAAAGACAAATTCACATTAGTATGCCAAACATTTAATGTCCCTTAAATCTTTCTCTTGCTACAGTAAATTTCCGGTTGGCATTAACAGGTTCAGTATCCATATACTGGCTCTAATTTATTGTTTTGCATCAGCAACATCTGTGTTAAAAAAGGGTGGACATTTTTTCTTGTCTGGAGCAGATGTTATTGTTTTATCACCACAGCCTAGAGATTATAGCGGAGTTAATTACAGCTGGGAAACTTTTTAAAGGTGGAGCTAATATCTGTTGCCAATAGAGGTGGACTTCAACACATTCATATTAGAGTAAGAGAACAATCCTGGTCATGTGCAGACAAAAGAAAGTCCTACAACTTTCAGGATTCCCCCACCAGGTTGGGAGCTGAATGCCTTTTGTCTGACTAAACGTGCATAGGTCTGTGCCCAAAGTCATTTTTTTCCAAACGATGTTCCTGGAAACTTTTATGGAGCACGAGAACCTTGTGGCAGGTTGGCAGGGCAGGTTACCTCAGTGAGAAGGGATGGCAAAGAAGTTGTCCTGAAGGACAGCTAGCAAGCCAGTATCTGCCTTCACTTCCAGTGCAAAGCCAAAGGGGACTCTTGGTTGTGTGTTAGAGGGTGAAATCTTAGGATGTGCTAGGCAATTATGAATGCGTCCTTCAGTGGACTCAGATCCCTTGGCACATGACACAGTTTCTTGGCAGACAAGTCAGTATGAAAAGGATGCCACTGAGGTAGAGAAAACAACAGACTCCAGTAATTAATAATACAATGTCATTAACTCTTAGGTCACACTAGGGAAGGTGAGTGGTAAGGGGAAAGGTGGTTTAACAAGGAAACATTGGCTACAAACTTGATTGTTTCCAGATATGCAAACTAAACATGACTTGTACTGCATGATTCTCTGGAGGTAAAGAAAGATCTAAAACTCAGCCCTGCAAGCTGAGTCTCCTAAACCCATATTTGTGATGGGAACATGCATGTGTGAGTATGCTGGAGAATTTGCTGAGGGGAAGCAGAGGCAGGGAGAGAAAATGTTTAATACTATGATGCAGTTCAATGGAATGGCAATTTCTGGATGGTTGACTGAAAGCGGAATGACCATGCGGGAGGCCATGCATGTGCTCACATTCAACCACTGCAATTCCTGGGTTAACAACCCAAGAATTGCAATTACAGTTGATCTGGGTCTCTTTCTATTTGCTGATTTTTGCTTTACAGCCCATCATTCTATTATCTATCCCCCCAGACCTATTCTCTACAAATCCCCTATGATCAAGGAAGCTGCCCTCCCGCCTTTAAAAAATCACAGCTACCTTTAAAAAATATGTTTATTGTGTATTAATTTCAGGCACAGAGGTAAGATATAAATGTTTCAAATAAAAATAGAGGTTGAAAAAAAAGCAAACAAGTAAAAAAAGTACCACACATACAATTGACAGCTAGTAAAGGATCCAGGGGCAGGAAGATGTGAATGTAAGGGCAGACCATAGTTTTCAAATAAATATTAACCAAAGATGTGGATCACTGGTACAAGTCTATCTCTATAATACGTTGTTTGAGCCTGACAGCAGCTGATGCCCCTAGAAATAGAAATGTCGATCACATCTATCTGCCAAGGTGAGAATTGAAAGAAATACTTTCACTGTTTGGGATGCAGCCAGTGAAATAAAATCCAGCCTGAGTGTTGCAGCAGGCCAGTGAGAAGCAGTGTTGCTTTTGGAGACCGAATAGTGCTTGAGAAACTAGCACTGCCTGTTTCCTCCACAAACCACAGCTTCACATGTGTGTTTGTAAATAAATAAATTGCAAAAAGCACTGCAGGTCACCAGTATTCCATCCTCAAAGGAAGCTGATTCTTTAGAAGTATCCTCTTGGAACTTCTCTTTGCTTGGGAGAGTGTGAAACACATTCTAGGAAGAATCCCATTGATTCTCTTTATATAGGATCTTTAGAAAGCTTCCATCTTATGATAAATTTAAGCCTCGGCTAATGTTCTCCTATTTCCATATGCAGGAAAAGAATTTGGATTGGTTTCCTCGGATGAGAGCCATGTCCCTGGTCAGTAATGAGGGCGACAATGAGCAGAATGAAATCAGAACTCTACAAGAGAGATTGGAGTCCACCATGAGCCTGGTCAAGCAACTCTCCAGTCAGTTAGCTGAGCTTAAAGAACAGGTTCATTATTTTTTTTCTTTCATTTTTACTCAGCAAAATATGAGTATGGGATGTTATCACTGTTAAGTCTTATTGCATAGTCACAAAAATGCATCAAGCTAATGCAAGAATGGATGGATGGGTAGATAGAGGATAGATAGTACAATGAGTCTGTATTAGAACTGTTGGAACATTGTGGTTGATTTATCTAATTATGCAAGCCAAGGAATGATCTAGGAGAATGATGCTCTGACATTGTTCAAGTTTTGGAGATGCGGACCTCATCAGACCTTAAGTGGGATATCACTGGAAACCACTTACAGTGAAACATGTGAACTACCCCATTTACAGAAGCACAAAACTTTGACAACTTTCAGAGTACAGGCTTCCTTTTAATTTTGACAGGGCCAGGTATGGTTCTTTTGACAGAGACAGATGCATATACATACCTGTGCATCCCTGTCAAAAATGCTGGACAGCCTTGTCAGAAGCTCCATTTCAAAGGAAATCACCGCTCCCATAAAGCAGTAGCTTGCAATTTTCCAACTTTCCAAGTTTTAGGAAAGGGTGGAAAAAATTCAGGAAAAGTGGGGTCCAGCCAGAAGAAAAACTCTTTTTGTTAAGGGAGTAATGTGCTGACTACCCTTTCTTATAAGCAAAGATTATTCATAGCTTTGCTTTTCCTTGATAGCTCACTTTTTGACAGCTCTCATGAGACACAAAAACATAGAAACAGAGCGAGTCAGAAGGGTTCTCCCGGGCCATCTAGTCTGACCTCCGGCACCAGCCGGCTCCGCTCACGACATGCCCACCATGTGGACGTCCAGCCTATCCTTGAACACCCGCACCGATGGGGCCTCAACGACCTCTCGTGGAAGCCCATTCCACACCCTCGGGGTCCTGACTGTCAGGAAGTGCTTCCTGGCATCCAAACGAAACCTGGGTTCCCTGAGCTTTGCTCCGTTGGAGCGCGTCCTGCCTTCCTCTGCAGGGGAGAACAGGTCTCTACCCATCTTCATGTGACATCCCCTCACATACCTGTATGTCGCCAACATATCCCCTCTGAGTCTCCTCTTCTCCAGGCTGAAGAGACCCAGTTCCCTCAGTCTCGCCTCATACGGCATCCACTGCACAGTACAAATAAGACTGCACAGTACAAATAAAAAGTAACCCTATTTGCAGTCTCTTTGGAGCCATTCTGTAGATGGTGCCTCCTGCATTATGACAGGACACCACCCAGAGACATCCGGTTTTGAACCCATACACCTGAGCAAGCAAACCCAACAA